TAAATGCATATTACTTAGTGAAAGTACTTAATCTGAAAAGGCTACATACTATATGATTCCAACACTATGGTATTCTGGAAAGGGCAAAACTTTGGAGACAGCAAAAAGCTCGGTGTTTGCCAGGAGTTTGGAAGGAGTGAGGGGTTAATTGGTGGAGCACAGGGGATTTTTATGACAATGGAATTATTCTATATGACACTATAATGGTTGATATATGCCATTACATATGTATTTGCCAAAACCCATTGAAGATACAACACCAAGACTGAACCATAAGCTGAACTACAGAGCGTGGGTGATGATGTGTTAATGTAAGTTCATCAGTTGTAACAATTGTGCTACCCTGGTGAGGGATGTTGATAGTGGGGGAGGTTGTATTAATATATATGTGGGGGCAGAGGGTAGTTAGGAAATCTCTGTATCTTCTTCTCAATTTTGCTATGAACCTAAAACTGCTCTAAAAATGAGGTCTATTTTAAAAAAAGGCCTGCTTTTTTTTTTCTTTTTTTTTGCTTCTAAGAAGCAGTTTTTACTCCTTAGAGGTAAGTTGAGAATGCATGATCTAGATGTGCATATACTGTTTGCCTGGATTCCTCCTTACTTCACCCACCCTGCTGGTTCAGTCCGGCTATTGCATATGAGTTCATTGGGCCAACTCTTTCCTCAAACAGTCCTGTATAGAAAACGGAACCAGTTATGTCTGTCCACCTGAGGGGGTAGATTTTGCTGGTGAATTCTGATGTTGTCCAGCTCCTTCTCTTCTCCTGCGCTCTAAGATCTCAGTCTGGTTCTTCAACCATCAGCCCTCTCCTGCTGGGAGTCAGCCTCTGAATAATCCTGGGATGTGACCTGTCTCACTGGAAGTCATGATCTATATTTGAGAGGAATTCTTTGCTATAGATCGAGGGAAGCTCCTTCTCCCTTTGAGGCCTTCTTTTAAACTCTTTGTTGGAATGACGTTTGTTATCTTTAAAAAATTATTTCAATAAACCAAACAGTGAAGATCCCTTTAAGAGTGTTCAAAGTTAAGCTCCCTGGATACTATCTGATCAGGGTTTCTCTTTTAACTCATTTGGGGTCCTTATGCACTAATAAAATTATTATAATGTAGGAAGTACAGAAAAATCGGTCATGATCTAGAAATGCTCTGGAGAATGGCTCATGTTTTCATTCCATGCTCTTGTTTTTATATAAAATTTCTCTTAGGAACAAAACCACCAAAAGGTTTAGACTTGACCATGTTCCTCTTTCTCTCAGATGGAGGAAGTATTGCCACATTACAGTACCAAGAAGCCTCTTAGCTCATAAGATAGGATTTTTGCAAGCATCCGGAGTACATTACCCTTGTTGTTATTGCTTCAGAATAATTAGGACTGAGAATCATTGCGGGGGGGGGGGGGGTGTTATTTATTATTGTTTAAAAACTTTTAAAAACATTTGTTCATTTACTTTTGGCTGCGCTGGGCCTTGCTGTGGCGCGTGGGCTTTCTCTAGTCGTGGTGCGCAACTTTCGCACTGTGTGGCTTCTCTTGTTGCGGAGCGTGGTCTCTGGGGCGCGTCGCCTTAGTAGCTGTGTCTCGCTGGCTCTAGAGTGTGGATGCACCGGCTTAGTTACCCCATGGCATGTGGAGTCTCCCTGGACCAGGGATCAAACCTGTGTCCGCTGCATTGGCAGGTGGATTGTGAACCACTGGACCACCAGGGAAGTCCTAGTATTTTTAAGACAGTAATATTTATAGTATATTTTTCTAATTAAAAGACTAATATGTGTCCAATTAAAAAATCAGAAACAACTATATAAAAAAAGGAAAAACAAGATCTACCTGACTTCTATCCCTTGTTCATGGTTATTAACATTTCTGGTGTACAATCTCACTCTTCTGTAATCTCTCAGCAAAAGATTTGCCAACAGGAGGAGCATGTGTCATAATATTTTGTCCTCGCACTCATCAAACTATAGCTTCTGTTTCCTCACATCATGAACTAGACTTTTACAGCACAATTTCTTTGGAAAATCTTACATACAAAGTAAATGGGACAGCATAATGAACACTGTGTCCATCACGCAGCTTCAGAGCCACTGACTTTCTGCTCGTCTCCCTCTCTTTTTTACATTTAGTTACTCTTATTTCAGCTATACTTGCCCTGAGGTAAAACTGGAGTGCACTGTAAAATTTTGACAAACCACCCCAATCTAGACACAGAACATTTCTGTCACCCCATGTCCCTTCTCAGTTACTACTACCCCCCTCCAGAGGAAACCATTCTTCTTAGGTGGCGCTAGTGGTAAAGAGTCCTCTTGCCAATGCAGGAGATATAAGACATGGGTTCGATCCCTGGGTCAGGAAGATCCCCTGGAGGAGGGTGTGGCGACCCACTCCAGTATTCTTGCCTGGAGAATCCCATGGACAGAGGAGCCTGGTGAGCTACAGTCCACAGGTCGCAAAGAGTCAGACACAACTGATGTGACTTGGCACACACACACACACACACACACACAGATTAGCTTAACCTTATCTGAGAATTGAAATACTAGAATCATATAGAATGTACTCCTCTGTGACTGACTTCTTTTATTCAATATAATGTCATTGAGATTGGTCTAAATGTTGCATGTATCCATAGATTGTTACTTTTTATTGTTGAATAGTATTCTGTTCTATTAACATGCCACACTTTGTTTATCCAATTTTCTTTTAATAGACATTTGAGCTATTTCCATTTTTGGCAGTCATGCAGAAAGCTGCTATGACTATTTCTGCACAAGTCTTATGCAGACATGTATGTTCATTTCTCTTAGGTAAACAGCCCTGGCAAGGAACTGCTGGATCAAATAATAGCTGCGTGTTTAACTTTTTAAGAAACTGTCAAGCCTTCACCCAAACTCATACCAGAAGCAATACTCTTTAAGGCATGGTGAATCTTCTCATCAGATCCCTCTATCAGTCAAAGTGAAATAAGGAACTGGTATAATCTCACCCGGTAAGTTTAGGAATAAAGAAATAATGATACTCAGCATGTCCGTATCAAGAGTCTGAGGCTGCCAAATATCACATTTACCCTACCACATCTGTGAGCAAAAGGTGTTTTAGTTTAATTTGTACCCAAACTATATGGCCTGATGTTAGAACTGCCTAATATGTTCTCACCATCTTAGGAAGGGCCAAATGTGACACTCAATGTTTATATTTTTACAATAGCTACAAGGAACATCATTTCAGAACTTATAAGATGAGCCAGCAAAGTCAATCTGCTTTATATATATTGAGTGCACAGATGGAAAGTTAATACAAGTAGTTGAAAGAACTAAATAAAGTGACATTATGAGGATCACATATGGATATTGTGTTCTACTAGACAGCTCTTGCTCCTTTGCACACAATGAATATCTTTTAAATAATAGGAGACCATGTGGATATTTCCTATTAACTCTCTATTTCTTACTAATTTCTTCTTTGTGGGTGGACTTATAAATTGTGTGCCATGACTCATTTGAATGCCACTTTCCATTTTTCTAAGACTGTAAGAACAAAATGAATATTCCTATGGCTATTTATATCCAATGCATGTGTTCAGTCTTTTGGACACATGAGGCTCCTTGAAGAGTCGACCGCATTCAGAAACTGGGTTATATCTTATGAGCAATAGATAATCATTGCCAACTGTCCACTGGGAATGCCCAGTTTTCCCACAGAGACTAGGTATGTTTGCACAACAGAGTCTCTATTCCACAGACTGTTTAAAAAAAAAAAAAAAAAGGATTGGTTAAACTCAGAGCACACAGGTACACTTTATTTACTCAAGGGTTACCCAGCTTTAAGCAGAGAACTCTGATGTCTCTTAAAACCTCCCTGGTGGTCCGTGGTTAGAATTTTGCACTTTCACTGCTAGGGTCTGGGTTCTATCCCTGGTCAGGGAGCTAAGATCTCCAAAGCTGCATGGGGCAGCCAAAAAAATTTTTCTTCCTCTTTGTTCCATGTCTCTTTGTTAAGAGTCTTTTTGCTAACTTAAAATACTATTCACATGATTTAAAATCCCACATTGGCTGTGCATTTCTTATCATAGCTATTTCCACACTAATATACTAGTTATTCCTTCAGAGTGATATCAAGCTTACTGTAAGTTTTTGTCTAAGCCAGTCTCTGTTTATTTAGTGAAGTGTTTTGAGGAAATATTGAGAGTATTGTTGAAACTGGAAAATGGAATGATTGTTCCCTAAAGAATTTGCTGATCCAAATAGTCTGTATTTATCTATCCTTTAGAGGTATTGTGACGTGGCTTCACAGTGATTAGTAGAAGCCAACCATGTTTAAAGATATTCTGGCTCTTAGATAACTCATGTATATTTGGTATTCAGGAATGATATTTATTTTCTCTAATAAAAATTTAAAAATAAAACATTCAAATGGTTTGAAGAAACATTCTGGGATATAATTTTTTTTTCAATTTATACTTAACTTAGGTATGAATAATGGAAAAAAAAAAAAACTATCCATCCAGTTTTTCATTTCCTTGTTTCCAGTGTGATAATTAGTTTTCCAACTATTGGAAAAATATTGTTTTTATTTAAAGTCATATAAACTGATGTACCTATGACATAACTAAATGTAAAGGTGAGTATTGGAAAAGGGGTAAACAATACAGTTTGAGAAAACTAAGGTTATATGTTTAGGAGAAGGGGATTGAAATAGACTAGCAGTGAATAAAGGACTTTAAACAAAGACTGAAATGGAGTGACAAAGACAGTTATTTAAATTCAAGATGATCTTGGCAAACTTGGTAAAACACTCCCATCTTAGATCAAGAAAGCAATATTCATTTAGTGCTTCACAAAAATAAATTGCCTTCATGACTGAATAAACAAAATGTGGTATATTCATACAATGGAATTTACTTAACAATAAAAAGGAATGAAATCATGATAACATAACATGGATGAACCTAGAAAACATTATGCAAAATGAAAGGAGCCATTTACAAATAAACATATATTGTGTGATTCCAGTTATATGAAATGTCCAAAATAGGCAAATCCATAGAGACAGAGAGTAGATTGGTAGTTGCCAAGGGCTGGAGGATAGGGTAAATGGTGACTGACTGTTAATGGGTACAGGATTTTTAAGGGTGTGATGAGAATGTTCTAAAATTGATTGTGCACAACTCTATGGATATACAAAAAACCGCTGACTTGTGTAACTTAAAAGGGAGAATTTTATAGTATGTGAATTATCTCATTCTAATAACAGCCTACTAAGTGCCAGATACATATCAATAACTTACACTATTCAACTTAATCCTTACCAGATGCTTGCAAACAAAATTTATTTTCACTTCACAAACGAGAAAACGGAGTTCTCACTTATCTGTGTAACTCAGTGGAGGGCTGGCACTGCTGGGCTTGCACGCTAAGCCTATTTTCTAAGTATAAGCCTTTTCCATTGGCTGTCCTGCTTCACCCTGTTTCCAGAGTTTTCTACTTTAGATCCTCAGTGAGCTAGACTCAGGGGGTCTCTGCATTATCCTCTGCTCTTTCAACTGCCAGACAGACCTGACTCTGGAGATGCTCGTATCATTCTCCACAGACCTGCCCTGCCCAGGTCTGAGGCACTATCTTCTCTTAGCCGGTGTCTTCTCTCAGGAAGCTACCCACCCGTAGCTTCTCTGGGCACCCCCAAAGACTGTAAAGAAAAGTTCTAGGTTTTCTCTCCTGTTTGAGCCAATGATTATAGCATTTGCCTCTGGCCCGGAACTCGACAAGAAACAGCCCATGAAGGATTTCCTGTTTACAGGCCATCACTTGCCCGGAGACACCGTGCGCGCGCACTGCCATGTGTATGTGCGCATGTGTAACGTGGGGATGGTGGGAGTGATCTTCGGTTTTTTTTGTCTTTGCGCCACCTAACAGGGAGACAGGCTCTTTCTTGCTTTCTCCTTCACTGTTTAAATTCTCCCAGGAATTCTATCCAGGGAGATGGAATAGAGTGACTGACATCTGTTCTTCCCAAGACTTTTTTTTTTTTTTTTTTTAAATCCTTTGCGTTATCTCAAAGCTTCCCCCATTATTCAAAAATGAAGACCCTTTATAACATCAACAAATTTTTCAACTGCCCACTCTTATGATGGGAGCTGAGAAGATACATACTGATTTGAAGCTACTATATATTTGGTAATGCTTTCACATGAATTTTGCACTCTGTCAATTATATGAGCAACTTATATGGTCACTGATTCTTATTTGGTCTGGAGTGATATATTGTACTTAATTCACGGTGACAATAATTAGAGCAAAAATTTCTCACAGTGCTTTAATATAACTCCTAGGCCCATCACTGTCTTCAACCTTTTTTTCAGTGATGGTTTGTTAGTGTTTATACAGAGCTTTAATCTAGTTCACTGTTCTGAGGCTTACAAAATCCTTTCATGAACATCACCTGATCAGATTTACGTTCTAGAGTGTCGGCCTATTTTTAAACATGAGAGATCTCTATGTTTGGCAAGACTACACAGTGTAAGTAAAGGGGGTGGGGGGGAGTTGTGATCAGGAAAACTATTTCATAATTAAATTAGGTCTCCTCTCAGCTAATCTGTTTTACTGTTCATTGTGCGTATGGGGCTATTGGACCAGAACCAGTGTTGTCTTGTTTGTTGCTTGTTTTTGCTTTGCTTCTTCAAAAGAAATGCACTAGAAGCATCTATGTCTAAAATGGGTAAAGGGGGAGCTGCTCTGGAGCTGGGGAGAAGAATTGCAGTTTACCTTTTCATTCTGTTCTAGGAAAGTTTTGAACCCAGAGTTCTCTTTATGGGTACTTACTCTCAGGATCCATTTCCTAAAGTCTTTTATTTTTTCTCTTGGGGAGTGGTGAGCAGGAAGGATCAAACTAGCAGCTTTTGTGGTGAGAACTGGTACCCACCCCCACCTTGAGGAAACTGGGCCTCAGCAGCCTGAAGGTACTCATGCCTCCCAGAAAGGATGTTCCCAGTCTTGGCCGGAGCCCAGCAGACATATGCCTTGCTTTGATGTTCTTTCGGACTGAAACGACAAAGCTAGCTAGTTTCATTTTCTAGGATCTTGTCATAGTCTTTATACAAGCTAATTGTAAAGGAAAGCCTTGAGTAAAATGTTGATTAAACTTGGGAGGTTTTCATCTTTAACTAGATGTAAACTTTTGATAGGGATTCCCTGATGGCTCAACGGTAAATAATTCAGGAAATTAGGGTTCGATCCCTGGATTGGAAAGATCCTCTGGAGAAGGAAATGGCAACCCACTCCAGTATTCTCGGCCTAGGAAGTCCCATGGACAGAGGAGCCTGGGGAGTTACAGTCCATGGGGTTGCAAGAGAGGCGGACGCGACTTAGTGACTAAACAACAACAGCAACAACAAAAGCTTTTGATCCCGTCTTGAGTTACATCGGACAGAGTTTTGCATAGCTACATGTAGTCACAATTTTCTGCACAGTTTGGTATGCCTGAACTCCTGATCTTCTGATCTAAATTTTACTTAGTTCTTCTAGCCTCATCTCCAGAGCCTTCCACCATCAGAAACATTCTGCACCTTGCTGGTTGGAAGGTTTCTTTTTTTTAAACAGTGGCATTTTCTCTTGGGGAGTGGTGAGCAGGAAGGATCAAACTAGCAGCTTTTGTGGTGAGAACTGGTACCCACCCCCACCTTGAGGAAACTGGGCCTCAGCAGCCTGAAGGTACTCATGCCTCCCAGAAAGGATGTTCCCAGTCTTGGCTGGAGCCCAGCAGACATATGCCTTGCTTTGATGTTCTTTCGGACTGAAACGACAAAGCTAGCTAGTTTCATTTTCTAGGATCTTGTCATAGTCTTTATACAAGCTAATTGTAAAGGAAAGCCTTGAGTAAAATGTTGATTAAACTTGGGAGGTTTTCATCTTTAACTAGATGTAAGCTTTTGATAGGGATTCCCTGATGGCTCAATGGTAAATAATTCAGGAAATTAGGGTTCGATCCCTGGATTGGAAAGATCCTCTGGAGAAGGAAATGGCAACCCACGCCAGTATTCTCGGCCTGGGAAATCCCATGGACAGAGGAGCCTGGGGAGTTACAGTCCATGGGGTTGCAAGAGAGGCGGACGCGACTTAGTGACTAAACAACAACAGCAACAACAAGAACTTTTGATCCCGTCTTGAGTTACATCGGACAGAGTTTTGCATAGCTACATGTAGTCACAATTTTCTGCACAGTTTGGTACGCTTGAACTCCTGATCTTCTGATCTAAATTTTACTTAGTTCTTCTAGCCTCATCTCCAGAGCCTTCCACCATCAGAAACATTCTGCACCTTGCTGGTTGGAAGGTTTCTTTTTTTTAAACAGTGGCATCTGGCGATGTGTATATGAAAGCAGTGAGAACTCTCATTCCTTTTAGAATCATTTTGTTAGAAATGGCTTATGTACACTTCAAAGTATATTCATTTCCAAAGTTATGCTTTAGTTTTTAGAATTAGTTTTTAAAGATAGCTTTTAAAGAAAGTTGATGAAACAGATATCTCTAATTCTTAGAAACTTACCAGGGCTTTTTTGAAAACTCTCCTTTTCATAAGAGCAACTTGAAATAGGTCTTCAAGAGGTTCTTTGATCTCCTGCTGTTAGAGGAGTTGCATTTTCTTGTGAATTTACAGAAGTTACATCCCAGAAGGCATCTATGAGGAAGCAGAGGTGTGAGAAGAGAAGACCTGGTCATTGCCCAACTTTACCTGAGGATATATTTGTTGAGAATCTATTACATTAAAAAATCACTCCAAAATTAAAATGCAATTGATTGGACTGTTACTAGAAACTGTTTGTGGGACACATTTTCCCCTTAACTTTTTACTAGAAAATTTTTCAAGTATAGAAAATTTAAAAGCACATTCTTCAGCTACATGGCATCTCTTCCTAAATATAAATAATTTTAATTAAATAAACTTTCAAGATTTGTTGCAGGCATACTTTCTCTTTCTCTTCTCCCACATCCTACATTCAGTGTGGAGCAAATGCTACAGGTCGCATCTTCAAAACAGGCATCCGATTACCAGCTAGCCCCTCCATTCCTGGTCCAGGTCCCATCATCTCTCTCCTAAATTGAGGAGTGGCTCTCTCACGAGTTTCACCCTTGCTGTAATTGATCCCTTTGGGGACATCTCAAAATCTCGGCTGGAGTGACCCTTTCCAAAAGTAAGTAACAGAGTAACACTCTGTTCAGTTCCTCCAGCAGCTTCTGGTCTGACTTGCAGTGAATGCTGAGCTCCTTATTATGAACTTCATGTGTATGTGTTACTTGCTCAACCGTGTCTGAGTCACTGTGGCCCTATGGACTGTAGACCACCAGGCTCCTCTGTCCATGCGATTTCCCAGGCTAGAACATTGGAGTGGGTTACCATTTCCTACCCAAGGGATCTTCCTGACCCAGGGATTGAACCCGTGCCTCTTGGGTCTCCTGCACTGGTAGGTGGATTCTTTACCACTGTGCCACATGGGAAGCCCAGGCCTCAGATGGCCAGGCACCCTATTACCCCTCTGATATAACATCTTAGTTTTATTTTTCTGTCTCTAAATTTGCTGCAGCTCTCTGACTTCCCTGTTGCTCCTCACAGGTGGCATCTGTTCCTGCTTCCAGCACTCTACTTGTTTCCTCTCCCTGGAATATCCTTGGACACCAGCAGGCTCACTCCTTCACTTCCTTCAGGTCGTTATCAAACATCACCTGCTCACAGAGACACTGCTCTGGTCGCCTACTGAACGCTATCCCATCTCCTGATGTCTCCTTTCCCTCATCTGGCTTTTTTAAAAAGTTAGATAAGACTTATCACAATCCAGTATTCCATTCCATGTATTTTTACTTATTTACCTTTTTATTTTCTGTTCTATCCATTATTCTGTGTCAAGAGTTTTTGTGTGTTTTGTTCACTATTTTTCAGTGCCTGGCATGTGGTAGCTTCTTAACAAAAATTTGTTGAGCGAATAACATTTTCTTAGAGTAGTTAAAAATAATGAATTTTTGAAAACCATTGAATTAGCAATGTCTGGGTCAAGGAATTTTTGCTCATTACACTAGGGCACTTATTTTCCTTGGCTTGAATCCCAGACTGAAATCTGGAGAACTTTCTTTACTCTGCTGCCTGTTAGGCCAGACCTAACTCTAGCTTCAATCATCTGGTCACAAAAGAAGAAAAAAAAAAAAGTTTTATCAAAAGGAAAAGAAAGTGTATTTTCTCCCCCAGTCCTTCTAGGTACCCCAGTTCCATAATACTCCATAAAACTTTTCTGCTGTGTCATTCCCAGTCCCCAAATGAGGCCATTTCCCAAACCAGGTCTCCCCCAACGTGGGTCCCTTTCTCTCCTGGGCCCTCGGGTTGGAGCCTCAGCCCCTCTGCTGTTTTCACCTGCTGCCTCTGCTCAGGGAAGCTGATCTCCAGGTGAGGCGCCTGCCTCTTTCCGCAGACGTAGTCTGTTAGGGTCTGATGCAATGCCTTCTCTTAGCCCGGGTCTGCTTTCAGTAATTTAACCATCTCCCCTCTCTCTGCATATCCTAAGGACTCAGAGGACAGACTCCAAGTTTTCTCTTTTGATTTAACCAGTGACTACAATATTCCAATAAGGCCCAACATTCTGGAAAGGAAGCAGCACATCGAGAACTTCCCTCTGGAGCTCAGTCCAGTGCTCTGTGACAACCTGGAGGGGCTGGATGGGTGGGGGGGTGGCAGGCTCAGGATGGAGGAGATGTATGTGTACTTACGGCTGGTTCAACATTATTATACGGCAGAAACCAGCACAACATCATAGAGTAATTATCTTCCGATTAAAAGTAAATTTAAGAAAAGAAAGAATTTCCTTGATTTCCGTGTGTAATCAGTCCCTTATTTTTACAGTTCTTTCTTTGGCTTCTAAACCACCAGTGACTCACTGTGTGTTGTGTCTAACATGGGGGATGCTGCAAAGGGAACTTCGTGCCATCTGACAGGTGACAGTTTTCTGTTACATCTTTTTGTTCAGATTCTGCCTATAGATACGAGGGAAATAGAAATACTCTTCTCACATCAGGTCATTGACATTTATTCCTCTGTAAAATGTAATGTTAAATGTATTTTCTTCTGTTAAATGTAAACATCAATAATACCTGGTCTCAATAAAATATGCTAAACTCTTTAAAAATATCTGTGGACTGATTATAATTTCAAAAGTTTCTCAACTCCTCTCTCCCACATAATAGGAGTGGTAACATATAATGATTTTAAACTATTATATTCAGTAATGCTTTTAAAGTAGTTTATAGTTCATTGATTTTAAGACCGTATGTATGCATGTGTGTATATAGTTGGAAATATATAAAGGTCAAAATGACTGGTGTGCACAAATTTTGAGAATGCCTTGCCACAGTCTTGGTTTCCTAGGGGCCCTCATCTTCCTGCTTTGAAATAATCATGAACACAAATCTTATTAGTAGTAGTAGTAACTAATCATTGACAAAGGAGCTACAGGATGCCTTTCTCCAGTGACTCCTCCAGTCTTCTCTGTTGAGGTGTTAAGAAGTACCAAATCAGCAGAACTCTTCAGGATGAGAACTGGTGCTCACCCACCTTCATCTCAAGGGATTCTCAGTTGGATGCCTTTCTCCAGTAACTCCTCCAGTCTTCTCTGTTGAGGTGTTAAGAAGTACCAAATCAGCAGAACTCTTCAGGATGAGAACTGGTGCTCACCCACCTTCATCTCAAGGGATTCTCAGTGGTTGTTGGTCAGTCACTCAGTCGTGTCCGACTCTTTGCGACCCCATGGGCTGTAGCCCGCCAGGCTCCTCTGTCCATGGAGTTCTCCAGGCAAGAACACTGGAGTGGGTTGCCATGCCCTTCTCCAGGGGACCTTCCTGGCCCGGGGGCTGAACTTCAGTCTCCTGCATCGCAGGCGGGTTCCTTTCCGCTGAGCCGCCAGTGGAGGCGAAGGTCCTCAGCAGCACCCCAGATGTCGTGCCCGGGGGAGGCGTCTGCTTCTCGACTGGGAGCTGACTGGGGCAGAGACCATTCAGGATCCTGGCCGCTGCCCAGGAGGGCTACCCACACTGTCTTTTGAAGGTCTGACGGACTGAAACCACACATAAGCCAAACTCAGTGTTATTTTCCTAAGCATAAGTTTTCATTTTAATTTTTAAACCAAATTGCTGTATGAGATGGATGTGAAGGAAGCACTTAACCTAAAAAATAGCCTCCGGGGGATGTTATCTTTGATTAAATATTCTGTTGAACTTCTAATAACATCGCAAGTTCTGGAAGGCAGAATTGCACATGACCACAGGTTCCTTTACAATCTTTTATGTTAAACTTTCTGACGGTCTTTGCATTGTTTCTGTATCGTTTTTCCCCACTGCCCCGTGACCAGAAACCTCCTCACCACCTTAAATATACTTAATGATCCATTTCTTTTTAGAAGAACATTTACAAAGATAGTCTTAGTTAGATATACTGATATAGAATTAAAACACTGGTATTTCTACTTTCAATAGTTTTACAAGTAATGGCTTATGTACAAGCACATGTTTTTTTAATTAAAAAGTACGGCTGGAGTTTATAAAAATAGCAGTTTCCTCATAAGCATAAAAAAAATAAAAGTGTAACGATTGGGAAACTTACCAGGATTCTTCTGAAAACTTCTTATATCGGAAACTTTGAACGGTTGATTTTTTAACTTTTGCTTTCTTATTCTTCTCATGGGTAGGAGATGTGTGGCTTTAAGAATCCTTTTTAAAAAATAAGGCTTTAGGTTGTGACGTTTACTTGTCTCCTGGAGCCCTGACCCTGTGCAGAAGCAGAGTGAGGAAGCAGAAATGCAAACAGTTTCAGTTTTGCTTCTGAACATATTTCTTTAGGTTTGTAAAATATTAAACATATGTAAATATATGTTAATAGTTATAAAATATTAAAAGATTAACATCACAGAAAATCAACAAAGTTGAACCATTGCTGAGAAACTGTCCACCAGACAGTTTCAAGTCATCCAGAGTTAAGAAAATGAGGTGAAAAAAAACAAAAAACCTACAGAAAAAAATACTGGGAAAACACTGAAAGCTCAGAGTAATACAATTGTCTGTTACAGGCTGAATTTTTTCCCCAAATTCATAGGTTGCAGCCCTAACCCTCCTTATCTCAGAATGTGACTGTATTTGCAGAGAAGGTCTTTAAAGAGTTAATTAAGCTAAAATGAGGTCATAGGGTGGATCCTAATCCCGATATGACTGGTTTCCTTGTAAGAAGAGATTGGTGTTACATGCTGTCACACACACACACACATACACGAACGACCATGTGAAAACACAGGGAGAAGACAGTCATCTATAAGTCAAAGATAGAGGCCTTAAAAGAAAACAACTCTGGCAAATCCTTGACCTTGGTCTTCAAACCTCTGTGAGCAAATAAATTTCTGATTTTTAACTCATCTTATCTGTAGAAATTTGTTATGGCAGTCCGAACAAGCTAATACTTACATGAATTTCATTATTTTTAAAAAATTAGAACATTAGTTTGTTTAATTATGAATATAATTGAAGTTCATTTTCAAACTTAAGAAATATAGAATATAGAAAGAAGGGGAGAACCATATTATCCAAATGCAATCTTTGTTTTCCATTATACTTTTTTCTATTCATATATTTTTCAAATATAAATTTAATATTTGAGAAATTTTACCAGACTCTGAAACATATAATTTCAAATAGGTAGTAAACACTGCCCAGTAAATGCTGAATCACATTTTATTTCTTAAATTATTCTGATATAAATATAAAAATTCAGAACCACTGGAATATGACAACTTTGGGGATTGTGTGTATGGTTTTTGCTAATTTGTTTGCATTTTAAAATTGCTTTGCAATGTTGCATTAGCTTCTGCTGTTGGTTTTTAAAGAAACTGAAACTGCTACATCTGCTAGTAGAAGAAATGCTTTGTTTTGAAGTTTTGACATTGTTTAGGTGCATCATGGTTCAAGGGTTTCCCAGCTGGCTCAGATGGTAAAGAATCTGCCTGCAGTATGGGAGAACTGGGTCAATCCCTGGTTTGGGATGCTCTGGAGAAGGGCATGGCAACCCACTCCAGTATTCTTGCCTGGAGAATCCCATGGACAGAGGAGCCTGGCAGGCCACAGTCCCTAAGGTCACAAAGAGTTGGACACAGTGACTAACACACACACATCGTGGTTCATAGACTTATAAAGAATGCCATGGACTATTTTTATTCTTATATGAAATCTACAAATTTGGGGGATGATAGTGGAAGTGGTGCCTCTTACTATCTTATGTAACACATTTGAATATTTTCATCAATATTACCATCATCTGTTTAAATCTCCCAGTGTATTTTCTCCAAGTCTGTTTACTTAAAATTGTATGGAATGATATAATTAATAAACAATAAAATCTTAACATACACACCCCCACAACCTTGGTAAGCTTGTTAAAGAAAATTCTCTAAGAATATGATGAACATTTTTTCATTAAGTGAAGATCATTTTTATAGTTGTTTGAGCTATAATGTCTACTGATACTCCCAGGTGTCTTACCAAAACTGGTGGGCTATACTAAAACCCAAGTGAGTGTGGACTTTCGGAATGCGCACGTTCCTGTGTTCCACAATATGCTAAAGATGAACAATCCACCCTGGCAGGACTCTTGCTGGAGTTTTTGTTAAGTTCAGCATTATGTCCAGTCTTTTGTTCTTTATTACACTTTGTCTCCCTCTCTGAATAAGCACAGTTCACTAGATTCTCCACTTCCCGTCTCCTGAAAATTCTGACCCCCTCATCTTCCGCTGGTGACATCTCTTCCTACCTAATGGGCAAAATTGAAGGCCCACCTGCAGGTGGGCTTTCTCATATACCTCATTCTCCAGACCCCTAAACCCAGCTGTGCCCCTATTTACCCCTTCTTTGTACCTAAGGGTGCACTTCTGAACCCACACTCCACAATAACATCACCTGGAGTTTTTAATAAAAGCAGAAAACGCCCAGGACTGCTTTTGGGCAATCATACATCTATAGAGACAAGGCCACATATCAGTAAATTTTTTAAAAGCTTCCTGAGCAGTTCTAATATATAGACAGGGCGAGAATGTCTGGAATAAATTGAAGTCTTCATCTTCCCCTTTCTTTCCCTTACCTTCTTTTTATTCTTACCTTATTTTTATTTTTACCTTCTTCCATTTTCAAGCAGTTCAGTCCTTAAATCATTATACATGCAGAGAAAAGTAGATGTCTACGGTGGGAGAGTGGCAAGTCAGGGCCTAGGAAGGCGGATAACCTGGCGGGGTGGGGGTGCAATCGAGGTGGGGCGGGTCAGAACCTGCACAGTGTGAAGGGAGTATCCACCTGTGGGAGTGACCCAGCGCTGGGCACCCGAGCCTGACGGAGGTGTGGAGGGTGTGCAGAGGCAGCCTGCTGTGGTGTCAGAGCGCTAGTACAGTGAACAGAGTGTCTCAATGGAGGATTGAGCTGGTGTGGGCTACTAGAGCCCAAGCAGAAAAGAGAGTGTTCCTCTGGGAGAAGATCCTAAAATGAAGAGTGTCAAAAATTGCACTGAGGAAAGTTAAACAGGCAAGGAAGACTTTATTGGAGAACTCATAGCTTAGTCAATAAAGAATTACCCTGCAATGCAGGAGACCA